TGTATTTTAAGAGAAGGTGATAAGTTACTAAAATTGTTTATACTTGTGATGAAGGGGGAAGACATTTCTTTATACATTTCTTTTCTTTTTCTTTACTATTTCCTTTTTTTTTCTTTTCTGCACTTTCTATTTTTTCTTTTTATTGTTATTTTAAATATGTATTAGTTTTTATTATTGCAATTGTAATTTTAAATAAAATTACTATTAAAAAAAGGACTGTAGATACAAATAAAAAGAATATTCAGGAGTGTACGCTAGTTTTTTCTGTTTGCTCTCTTCTGCTAAGTCTCCTTTATGTACAAGTTATGGAACTGAGTGTTTTACTTCAGCCTTCATTTATATTTCAGACTATGTCCATCAAGACACATTTTTCTTTAGAATCCTTTGTAATCTTTAATCATTTGAAACCTTCCCAATCTTTTATTATGGCTACTTTGGGCAAACAGCTGATGTATAGCAGACCAGCACTATTTTATGGTCTGTAGTATTGCATTTTCTTTTGTATTTTTCTTTTTTAACTAATTTGCAAGCTGCTGATACTGTGAACGGGACAGCTCTGGAGCATCTTTTTCCACAATTGAATCACTGCTCCTAAATACTTAAAAGGAAAAAGTGTGCGCATATTAACAGTTCAATTTTTATGTATTTATTTATTTAGATTTTGGCGCCACCCGACTCCATAATGACTCATTTTGTTTTCTCCTATGAGACTGACTTATCTCACAGAGTTGGGCGAGCCTTATCTCTCTCTCATATGTGAGGGTTAGGGATGGGTGGTGGTAGCAGGAATTACCAAGCCACTACCAAAATCAGGAGGTAGGACCAGGGTTTGAAAAACCAGGGGGCTTCTAGGAGAGGAGGCTCAGAACCTCCAGACTTCTACCCTTTGGAGCTCAGCAATTTACTATTGACTTGTTTTCCCCTGGAGTCCCCATCTGCTCCAACTGCAACAGCATAGGAAGGGGCATGGCAGGCTGAAGAAAAAGAGGCCATTTGCAAAAAGCCACCTCCCCCATCTTTTTACTGCTGGAAACATCTGATGCAATAAACAGCCTTATGTCACAGAAGGGGTGAAGAAGGACGCAATGCTATGGAATCAAACCACCCTTCCAGAGCGCAGAATCAGTACTGTCATTCCATTGGATGGAGTTCCATCTCAACAATAGCAATACCACTGGTAGTTGCTATTAATGGTTAAGAACCACCACCATTGCCTGAAGCAATATGGAATAAACCTAGCAACCTATAATTCTTAGAAATGTAATGTTTTGAGAACAACAAACAGTATTAATTTTTAGCAGAGAGACTGGTTGTACGAACATCTTTCTTCAAGAGGATTAGCTAGTTAGCTGCAAGGCTATTCAATGAGCTGCCTCACTAAGAACCGGAAGTTTAAAAACATTAAAATAACGTTCTGTGTGGATCCTAACATGGAAACAGGAAGAAGAGGCACAAGAACTGCAAGCAGCATTACTTACCTATCACCCTTGTCATAGCCCTCTGGGACAGGGCTGCCTAGTATGGCAGACCGAAGCATGATATAGTCTCGAATGTTTGATGGAATGAAAATGTACTGTATGTCCTACAACCAACATAAAAAGAAATGTAAGTATGAGGTTTTTAAAGGGAAAAGGGAAAATATGTTGCAGTGAAGCATATATAATTCCAGCCTGTTATGTATACCTTTTCCCAGGTAAACCATTCCATATATCTGTCCCCCAGTTTTTATTCCTCTTACAATAAACACTTAGTGGGCAATGTACAGCCATAATTTGGCTGTTTTTGTAAGCCTTTTCATATGTTTAAGTGGTTGGCCTAATTCAGAAAACCTTTGTATTGATGCTATTTTGGCATCAAGTGCACCATCACCTGAAGGTCATACATGAAGTTAAAACATGAAGCTAGAAAGACTCATAAAGGACTTGTTGTGGCCTCAACTTTCCTAGACTGAAAAGTATTCACTGGCAGTAATCTGCAAAATCAGCAACCCATATTGAAGCAAATGTGCCTGAAGTTCAATAGTGTCTTAGTCCAACCCTGCAACTGAAAAGAAGAATGTAGTTGTGTGTTTACTTTTCCCTGTGGGATCTGTGTGAAACCATATTCTGCATAAGCAACAAGGGAATTTTTCATAGTGTTCACTGTAAAACCATAGAAGGAAGTCTTCGTCCCAACATCTTCCTCAAAGCCTTTGATGACTGCCCCGTTAAGCCTGTAAGGAACAACAGAAGCAAAGCCTGAGAAATTTATAGTTGTCAACAACAAGGCATGACTAAGAAAATAATTCAAATGCCTGACATTTTCTTCTGAAAGTTTAAGAACATGGATCTTGTGGATTCTTTTAATCTCCATAACCACCCAGAAATGGTGCCTTTGTTCCTTTCTGAAGGAAGACGGTTGCTAACTTCCTTGTACCTGAAGACAAAGTCATGAGCATCTATCTTCTTCCCTTGGCGAGACCCATTCAGAATTCCTCCATTCCCAACCACGGCACAGCAGATGCAACAGTTAAGGAACCTGGCTTCATCGACTAGCTGACTGTGGACAGATTCACTGAGAAGTTGCACCGTGGATGCAATAACTGCAGATTAAAACATTGTAATGATGCAAGTTAGGAAAAAGCTCTAGCAACAACTCCAGCAAGCCACTATGTGTAGATTCAAGGCAACAGGAGAAATAAGCAGAGAGGAGCTACATGAATCAATGTTCAGATTAGTTATCATGAGACAAGCAAACCACTCCATTTCTAGCACACAATGGGCTAAACAGATATTCCAGTGTTTGGAGGTCTTGATAAATCCACTCTAGGAACTCATAAAGTTCCCAGATAAAGTGAGTGCCTTCTCTTCTCCTTTCTTTCTTCTTATTTGTATAGTGTCCTTACATGATTCTAGTCACCACATTTGAAAAAGGACATGATGGAGCTGGAAGGATGGCAACCAAGATGATAGGCAGGCTCAAATACCCTCCTTATGGGAAGGTATTATGGGAGTTAATCTAACACATTTGGAATGTGTCACACTAGGGAAGGTTCTCTTAGGCTCCTTTTTTATTTACACAGCTAATTAGGTGGAAAATAATTTATAATGTAAGCTTCATAGAGGGCAGTGAGTTGGCCAACCTTGCTGTCCTGCTTCTAAGAACTGAATAAATATTTATTTGTGTATTTATTAACACAAGCATTTACAGTGCATTTGGAAGACCCCCTTCACTTTTTTCAATTTTATTATGTTGCAGCCTGATATTACAATCGTTCAAATTCATTTTTTTCCTCATTAATCTAT